TAATCAAATCGGACTCCCGCTACGCGGTCGTCCGATTTTGTTAATCACTCGTATGATCACAGACCGAATTGGACTCCACTCAATCCTGTTACCATTACTTATCATTATTATTATTATTAGCGGAGCTCCCGCGCGCGAAGCGCGCGCAGCGGAGCACCATGGGTAACAAAATTTGGTACACTATCCATCCGAGAAAATTTGGTTATGACGTAGCGTACGCCCACCCGTACACACACTTCATGTAAGCCGATGTCAAATGTCCCAATAGATCTTGCACAACTTGACTAGCCTTTCAGTTTTGTAAGCCATCCGTATGAGTACGATTACATTGACAGCTGTCAAAATCACACATCCGCTGACAATTATCACATGACCATCTCGCGGGCTCAGATCAAAGACCAGTCGTTTTGTCCCTACATATAAGCTGATATAATATGTCACACTTACCAATTCAGCATAACAACGAAACTACTACGTGCGGGGCTGTCAGTCGTCTGACAGTCGTTTAAAGTTATATTGGCAAGCCAAATTAAGGTCAATTGACAGCTGTCAAAATGGGGATATGTGCAGGCCACTATCAGAAAACTAATAACGTGGGCTCAGGTTCGCTTAGGTACACGATCTGGCATTTTCCACCACAAGCCGGACGGATATGTCTTACTCACACTCGCAGTCTGTTAATTCCAGGGGGGCCTGGTTAATTCGAATATTTGCCATTCTAATGAAAGTTAATTGACAGCTGTCAAACTAGAGTATACGCTGACCATCATCACCTGACTGTATCGCGGGCTCAATGTTTAATCTCACACTTTCTAGATAGTTTGGGAGCCTGCAACCTGATATTGTACATCCGTGTTTTGATTAATTGACAGCTGTCAAAGTAGTGTTTCTGCTGACCAGTATCACCTGACCGTATTGCGAGCTCAGGTATCGACTCACTGAGTTCGATTGTTCTTTGAAGTAATCCGCTGACAAGTTGCTACTTTTCGAATGATCGCAGGCTCAAGTTCAATTTTTTTAAAATGCATATAAAATAAGTCGTGTTTATGAGCCGCACTTTTAAAATTTTGATTTCGAACTGACCTCGGACGCGAAAATTCAACCGGCTTTTACATGTAGGGAAGGCAATCGTTTTTGACTTTTCTCATCACGCGTTGATCACGCTCTACGTCCAATTTTTATGTTCTGATTGGTCAAAATTTGACAGGTGAGTTCATGCGGAAAATTTATGCAGTGTCTAGAAACTTGCTTACTGATAGCTGAAGCCGACAGAGTTTCATATCGTGTATGGTTGCCCCAGGAAAAGGCTTTACAACTACCCGATGCCCCACAGCCTTGGCCAGCTTTTTCCCTTGAAAATTTTTAATGATGGAGTCACCTAAAACTACTGTGATCCGGTCATTCTCAGACTTAGTCGGGAATGATGTGGCTTCTGCAGTTCTTCCGGCAGGCGTTGCCCTTGTTTGTTGCCTGGAGTGTTTAGGAAGTTCAGATTTCTTCCCACTTTCAGTGGCTTTTCGTTGTTGCGTAAATGTATTTGAATCTGGCTTCTTTTGACATTGACCATCAACTTGACCTTGCTGATTATGCAAATTAACAGAACTGCCATTGTCAGCATTCCTTGAAAAAAATTTCCCGTCTTCTTTCGTTGCAACCTGATTGTTTAGAAGTCTAATCACTGTCATTAAACTTTCATTTTCGTCACTGAGAGTTCTTGCCTCTTCTCTTAGACTTTCGTTGCGGGATTTAAGCTCTTGAAGCCTTATGTTAAGTAGATTATTTTCCTCCCGAATAGATGCTATGGTTTCGTTTGAATATGATGTGCTTGCCTCTTGCTTAAGTTTTTCGATTTCAAGACGACAAACCTCTTTTACCTTGATCTCGATAAAGGAATATATATCATCCACTCTCTGGTTATCTTGGTCATGGGCAGGACTTTCCATTTGAGAAAACGTTGTGTCGGTTTCAATTGTTTGCCAGCCTAGCTTTTCCGATACAATAGCGTCGCGAAGTCGCTGAACTAGGGTACATTTGTTGCCGCTTTTCTTAAGTCCTCGCTTATCCAGTTCAGCTTTCAGTTCTTCAATTTTCAATGATGAAATCTCTTTGTTGTCGGGGAGCGCCAAGTGAAGATCTGATTTACTTGTCTCCGCCCTTTTCGGTTCGGCGTCGGCTGCTTCGTCTTCGCTCACATCTCGGTCGATTGATTCAAGAACTTCTAAACTTTGATCTGCATCAGTTCCGCTCAATTTCTGAAGCAGCGAAAACTTATTAAAGCTTGCCCCACACGCAGATTCGTTACTCATTGTTGCCATCCTATCCCTGATGTAATTTTTGTGTTGACGTCGAAAGTGTCAACACTGTTCCAACAATCACCTACAATTCTCACAAAGATTCACGTGTACCGTCAAAAAACCACTCGAACTCAGTGGGTCGATACCTGAGCCCGCTATACGGTCAGGCGATACTGGTCAGCAGATACACTGCTTTGACAGCTGTCAATTCATCAAACCATGGATGTACAATATCAGGTTGCAGGCTCCCAAACTAGGCAGAAAGTGTGAAATTAAACATTGGTCTGCCTGTGTTGCGGACGGACGGAAGGTCGGGTGGTCGGTTTACGGTCACGTGATTGCCAAATGTTCTAGGATGGATAGATTTCCAAAGCTATGGGGCTCCTCTCAAAATATGGAATTGAGCCCGTGATCAAATAAAATTTCAGCAGAAAGCTAAAAAAAATACTTGACCTCAATAGGTAGAAAAATGAGCCTGCGATACAGTCAGGTGATGATGGTCAGCGGATGCTCTAGCTTGACAGCTGTCAATTAACCTTCATTAGCATTGCTAATATTCGAATTAACGGACTGTCGACTACGAGTGTGAGTAAGACGTTTCAGTCAGGCTTGTAGTGGGGGCGAAATACCATATCGAGTTCCTGAGCGGACCCGAGTCCACGTTTTTAGTTTTCTGATAGTGGTATGCACATGTCCCATTTTCATAGCTGGCAATTGCCTATAATTTGGCTCGCACATATAACTTTAAACTACTGGCAGACGACTGACAGCCCTGCCCGGCGTAGTTTCGTTTTTATGTTGAATCGGTAGGTGTGACATACTATATCAGCTTATATGTAGGGGCAAAACGAGTGGTCTTTCATCTGAGCCCGCGAGATGGTCATGTGATAACTGTCAGCGGATGTGTGATTTTGACAGCTGTCAATCTAATGATACTCATACGGATGGGTAACATAACTGACAGGCTAGTGTCAAGTTGTGCAAGATCTATTGCAACATTTGACATTGGCTTACATGAAGTGTGTGTACGGGTGGGCGGGCGTACGCTACGTCATAACCAAATTTTCTCGGATGGATAGTTTACCAAATTTTGTTACCCATGGTGCTCCGCTGGGCGCGTGAGAGCTCCGCTATAAAACATTGAAAAACCATGCACTGTAGTGAAACCAGAACGAACTTTTATATAATTGACGTCGTTTTATAAACTTTGCTAGCCCTCGTGTCTTACCGAAAACTTGTCCCGCACTAAGTTGAGATCAGGCTGTACTTTTATCTTCCTGGGTAAATAAGCGGATTCCAGGCCGGCAAGGCGAATCGAAAAGTCGCCCATTTAGTGCAATACTTGTTTACCTAAATTACGTGTGCTTCGGAATCGAATGTGTATTAATGATTGTTGCATCACTTGCATGTGCAATAAATCTAAGCTTACCTTTCCGAACACTCGCTTTTCTTCTTGTAGATCTTCTTCCTCCTCAAACTTCTCCGCATGCAGCAATACGCAGCGTCAGCGCTTTGAAAAAAGCTGACCTTGCATCGTGAAAAGAGCTGACCATTCATATTCACGCGAGGGTCTAGTTGGCTTGCCTCACATACCATGCATATTAGTGGGTACAACATAGGAATGTGAAAGGAACGTGAACAGATCGAGAACAAAAACCGCCTACACGGTTAAAAAAGTGCCGCTGATTTGCTACTTCTAGCAAATCTCAGTAGGAGTGTATCACTCGGTTCTCCAAATCAAGATTCTATTTTAGATTTCCACACCCGTTTTAGAACCTTGCTTCCAAAACCCAGACCGGCTTTCGGAGGTGAAATAACTTAGATTAGACGCGAACAAAAAATATTTCTTAAGAACCATTTCTCCTAACTTTCTTATGATTTGGCATTGAAACGACTAATACGACAATCCCTCGAAAACCATACCCCATTCCAGAACAAAATGTGCAAAGTCTATACCCGTTGTTATACAAGAAACGGCATAAAATCCATACCCTTTGGGGCGGCACACAACTGTAAATGTCTTACATAAAGGAGTACCACCCCCGAGGATGTGACACGTTTGTGGACAAGTGCATTGATCAAGTTTATGTGATAATTTATCTTGAAATGTAGGTCTAAATGTCAGTTGTTTGAAGGACTTATTGTCTTTTTTTCTCCCCTTTATAATCAGTATTTGTGATGTCATTATCCATACTTTCCGAAGGCTTTTTTTGTTTCAAAATTCTCTTTTCTTACTCAGATTGCACGCAGTGACTGAATTCATAAAGCAACCGATGGATCAGATGTTGAACTCGCAAAAAGAAGACTGTAAAGACACTAATGTCGAAACAAACAATAATCCACTCGATGTATTGGGTAAGAAAAGATACCTTACATCATATAATCCAAAAATTAAAGCACAGAAGATTCCGTAGACTGTTGCCCTGCGAGCAGAGGTTTTTGTTTGCTGTTGTTTGTTTGTTTGTTTTTTCCTACAAAGTCCTTCGGGTGGCTTGCCACCAATTGCTTGCGTTTTGTTAATCGCCACGGGAACGACTTCGTAGGTGTTATGGCATAACAGCCCGAAGGGGGAGAGGGAAGCTACCTATAATGGCTAGCCTGCAAAAAACATCCGTTTCCCCTCACTACTTCGCCGCCGAGGACGTTTCGCGCGGAGGAACGTCTACGACTCAGCGACAGAAATTCCATGATCGTGCCATAGTCCGGCGGCATAGCTCAAAATTTCGGGTGAATCGGCACTTTTAGAGTACAAGCATGAAATTTGGCACCCTGATAGTAGTCACCAATACAAGCATTTTCAGATATAGTGCCAAGCCGGAATTACTTCGTTTCCATAGAAACCACAATTGATTAAAATTCATGAAAATTCAATGAAATTCCTTTTTCCTAGTTTATCAAGACATAGTAATCAGTCAGCCAGTAATACCAATCTGTTTTCCGCGTACTTCTTGTTAGGATGTTTAGATTTAGATAGCCAAGGGCCTTTCAAAGAGATGAGCGTGTAGGATGTTGTAGGGTTTTTTGTCTGTCCCGTAGGCACCCAAAGTTCCTTCAAGTCTAATTAATCCTGTTGCAGCTAGACCCCAAGATAGTGGGGAAAGCGAGAGCGCGAAAGTTCGAATCATGATTGACTAGTGACCATTTTCTTCTGCATCGGCTACACGAGCTAGCATTTTCATGTCCTCTTCTCCATGCCAACAGAAAAAAAATTGAGCATGTCCGTTTGCTGCTGGTGGATTACTAATGGCATTTTTCTTTTCACCATGCGATCCAGTTTCAGTGTGTTGAACGCATTGCGACAAGATCTATTCCACATAGCATACGACTTGCTTATGTGTAAGCAATTCCATTTCAAACGTCAAAACATTTCCCGGTCAATTGCAAAATTTAATACCCCGCGCCGCCTCATGAAATAACGTCAAGTGTTGCAGAAAACTCAAAGTAAGGAATCCAGCAACAGAGTAGTGCCGTTTCCAGTTAACAGGGCAGGCTACAGAATCTGTGGCAGTCATTATTTCAAGCAGCTAGATAATGTGTAAAAAACCATGATCAGTTTATCTCTGCGACGTTGGGTGTTGAATTCCCTCAAGTGCAGGACATCGGTTTAAGTGAGTTAATTCATGTTTTGTAGGTTGTCTCCATTGTGACTTGTGAACACACAACGATTTTTGTCATCAGTTACTCTTTGATTGCTAAGGTGTCCTCTGAATGGAGGTAAACATCGGGTTTGGACCCAGAAAAACTGTCCCTTTCCCCTGAATAGAGGTGTCCCTTCAACAGAGGTAAAAAATACAGAGATCATGTGAACATTTTTCCGGGACCAAATTTTGTGTCCCCCGAATGGAGTTGTTACTTGAATAGAGGTGTCTCAAAGGAGAGGTTCCACTGTATTTTGTCAAAAATGCTATGTAACAGGGTAAGGGATAGGACCTTGGGGCGGAGCCTCCCCGTACTTGAAGTGACAGAATGTTCTGGAAAAAAAAAAAAACCTGCATCAGTTACGAAAAATCTTCAAGACATTTAACGTTACTCAACAGAAAGAAATACAGAAACATATCACAGGGGGCAGACACAGACACCGGACTGTTATTCATTAAGGCTCTCGCTCTTCTTTGCAGATCATTATCGCAATATTGCAGACAAATATGACTACTTCTACAAAGAAGTTCACCAAGGTTACATTCCCATCCTAATGAAATGTTTGGACTTGAAGCCAGAGCACGTGGTCGCTGACATTGGCAGTGGAACGGGTGCCATTGCGAAAGATCTCTTTGAAGTATCAGGGCTTCACAATCCTATTTGGTGTGTTGATCCCAGTGTGGAAATGCAAGAAATTGCTCGACAAAAGAAAGGGGTTAACTCGATTTTGAAAACAGCTGAAGAATTTTTTTCGAATCCGCAAATTAGCGAGAGGTTTGACCGAGTGATAGCTACTATAAGTGCACATCATTTTGTAAACGCCGATGCTGTTTTTGAGGGAATACTCTGTAGTCTACGTCCCGGTGGTTTTTTCTTGCAATTCAACGCCATCAAGAGCACTCTCCCGTCATTTAAAAGTGCAAAAATGCTTCTTAGCCAATGTTTTAAGCGAGAGAGCGAAGTCAGAGATCTATTGCAGAGAAAAATCGGTTTGAGTGCAAAAATTTCTGAGAAGGAGTTCTCCTTTTCAGCGGAGATAAAGAAATCCAAGCTGTACGAACGATATCGATGCCGTTTTGTAAGTTTATTTCAGAAATTAAGCGATGACCAAATTGAAGAGGGAATAATCGAGTTAGACAATGAACATTTTCAAAATGTCGGTGACGATGAACTCATCAAGTACGAATGCACAGTGCTTGTGACAAAAGTAGAGAAAGTAGCTTGAAATAGCCTTGATACGCATGATACAGTGCCATTTTAGTGGCTCTTATACGATAGTAGATTGTAGGGTTTCACGGTAACAGTTACACCATCAAAAATCAAAATCAAAATCCTTCAATAGCTAACGTCCAGAATGTGTGAAAGGAGAACCATAACTGTATTGCATTGTATTGCCAGCATTACATGGTATCGTTTCGTATGTTGTTTATACTATTGTATTGTATCTGATTGTACATCGTATTGTATTTTTTTCCAGTTTAGTACGACATTGTTAATGAAGAAATGTTACTAAAGAGGAGAGGGGCGCACTTACGATACTCTGCCCCGTGCTACTGTTGTCATTAATCTTAAAGGAAGAAGACTACCTGGAATAACAGAAGATAACCTAGAATAAATTTAATGTAGTAGGAATACAGAAAGTTAATACAACTTGCATCACAAATCACAACTAAGCAACCTATTGTAATAACTGCGTTTCAATGTATTTTTGAATACTTTCTTCGAAGATTTTTGCCGTGTAGTTAAAAGAATACTGTTAAAAACAAAAACAGAAACAACAACAACTACAATGCTGGGACGAAATCTCCTCGACAACTTATTGATCAGACTAAGATGTGCTTTGAGTATTAACTTTAAGACCGGGGGGGGGACTTTTGGGGCCCGCTCCCATATACAGAGAAAAAGTTAAAACCGTTAAGCTGTGACAACCAAACTTCAGTCCGGGCCACAACCAGATCTGGATATATGATGATGTCACCCACATTTGCAAAATGGCGCCCACGCCGAGAAACTCGGGGGAAGGTCACTTCCAGGCTCTTTGCTGCGCCTAGAAGTGTCTTTTCCCCATACTACTTTGAGAGCTGTGACTTTAGACAATGAGAAATCAGGGATGTGAAGAAAAAAATGCCTTCCGATGAACGTTTGTGCGTTCTTGGGAGGTAAAACGACCGAACACGAGAGCTTTTCAGCTCAAAGAAATGCCGGACAGGGCGCAAAACATCTAATAAAAGAAGGCGAGTTTCAATTTTCTGATCCTTGAAAAAAAATTTTTTGAAATCTACATAAAATTTGCTTGTTGATGGTGGTCTTGTTGGTGTAGTGCATAGCGAATTCAAATAGTGCGGTGCTTTGGAAGATGTAACAGTCAGTTGCCCCGTTCACGTGCTGGTTTTCATTGTACAGGGGCACCCAACGGCAATTTTCGCGAAAATATCTGTTCGGAAGACGATTTGAGATCTAGAATTTTCGGAGCATTTGTTGTCAAATTTCTTGCTTGCCTGCCTCTCCTAGGATTTTCGAACATCTACTAAATGGTATAATTACGCATTTTTAACGGATTTTGACCCTAAAAAAGGCCACGTAGAATTTTTGGGAGCCTTTTCCTGGCTGAAATTTTCGAGAAGGTAAGTTTTTATCCCTATAATTTTCGGGTCACTAGACTTTCAGCTAGGAAATCCGAACAGATGAAAAGTTTTTAGGGGATAAAGATATGCCTATATCTACTGTCTGAACCAGTAAAATACGTTTAACAATGCTATGTTAAGTGGTTTTGAACTATATCCTCGTTGGGTGCCCCTGATTGTAAAGCCATGTTTATTTTATGTTATCTTGCAGTCGGATGGAAGAGCAAAAGCACCTTGTTTTTGTGGCAAAAAGATGCCGCCGGTTGGTTCGTGGAGAACCGTAACCATGGTCTTGCCTGATCACCAAGTGGCAATAACCGAAAACAGTTCAAATACTGTTAATTCAAAAGCTATTATCAAGGAAGGGAATACGCGCTCCAGTCAGAAGACTCGCATTTATAGAACAACACCAAGCTGGAGTTTACTGAGTCACAATGCATTTCTCCATAGTTGATGCAGCTCCAGTTGAAGCTGCACTTGATTCTTATAATTTTGTATCTGTAAATCACTATCCGTGATAATTTAACATCCTGCAAAGAAGACTCATGAGCTGGGCTCAGCGTGATACAACATTGCAAAAAAAACAACATTTTTATTTACATTCACGGACTAACAAAAATCGCTTAGTTATTAAGATCCAGGAGGCACTTTGGAGAAAATTAGAACCCTTATTTAGCCGTAATAAAATGCTTTACGCTTCAAAAACGGAGGTCACACAAAATGCTCTTCCATTAGAAGGAAAATCCTTCAGACCAGATACAAAAACCACAGTAAATCGATACGTGTGCCATGACCTCTCAGTGTGAAACAAACGGCTAAAATCACAAATGCTCAGTGAAAATGTGCAACCATCCAGATCATAATCTACCCAGCAGAGGAAAAAAACTTAACGAACAGCATTTTGGCATGAGGTAAAAGTCGTGTAGGCCTACCAGTTTTTAGTATAAATGCATTTTGTCGCTTTTTGCCCGTTTTTCCATTTATTAGTACATGTTATTTAAATACTAATAAATGCATTTTCTCGCTAAAAAGTCACTTCTTTTTTGCCCATTTTTCCATTTATTAGTATACATTATGTAATTTAATAAATTTGTTTGTTTAACTTTCACTGTTAAAGTGCTTTGCAAAAACTATTTTTACTAGTACTAGTAAGGTTTTTTGAATACTTTGCAAACATCTGATGACCCTATTTCAAGTATTCAAATTCCCTACTCTTCCCTTTCGATAGGTGTCGTCGAGTCGCGTCAGGGTCTCTTGACATCAGAAGTCCAGGCGTTTTTACAGAAACCTTCCTCGATCATTATCATTTTGATATTTGTAAATCGAACGCTAAGGCGTATAAAATCATCTCGCTTAATCGGTTTGGTATTACATGCTGTTACTTTTCTTCAAGGAGCACTCCAGCCATAGCGCAGACTCGTACCCAGTCGCTATTTAAGTGTTTTTTGGGATGAGAGAAGATTGGGGATTAGGTTGAGGCGCGCGCGGGGTCTCATGGGAAGGGAAGAAGGAAAAATAGCGACTGGCAGATTTCGTTCCAATATGGCGGCTCGGGAAGAAAGCTCATTGTCACGCGATGTAAATAATGCCTTAAATGAAGGGAAATTAGCTTGCCAACACCGCAGTTGTACCGTAAATAATATCTTCGTAGCAACGTCAGAGTACCCGGTCGCAAACTTTCGTGTCAAGTTTAGCGATAATTATCTTCTATAAAACTGAAGGTATTTTTCAATCATGTGGTTCGGTCACCCGGGTTTCTCTTTGGATGCAGCACACGTTTATTCAAGCAAGCTTCATTGCGAGGAAGCAAGGGCCATCCTGGAACACATTTATCACCACAGTGTCGTGAAGGTAGAAATTCAAGTAATAATGCCGTCTTATATTGATCTTGTTGATCCTACAATTCTCTAAAACTTGTCTGTTAATTAAGGTTATTATGAATCATTTTTATTTCCTGTTAAATATAAGTATGACCCATCGTTTGTGGAAATGACTTCCATTAACCAGCCATTAATTAAATTTACAAATCAAAATTATAGCGGAGACACTGACGAAAGCTGCAAAACTTATCTTAAGCTTGTGCTAGTTTCTATTTTTTTGTAGTTCAACATAGACACAGTATTCCAAAAAGTCATCTTGAGTTCAGTAAATGATGACATTTCAAGAGGCATCAAACTCATATTTTTACTAGGCTAGGCTGAATAGTAGAAGAAAGGGAGAGGGTTTGTCATTTTTTAAATAGAAACTTGTCATGACAAGTTTAATGACCAATGGATAACAGAACAGTAGTTTATAAACAACTGGCAAACCTAAGGAACAGGAGTAAAATTATTCAATTTTTGTTTTGCCTTCTGGGAAAAGTGGAACAGGGGGTAACGGTGACCCTATTAAACTTAAATTTCTAACTATATGTAAAATACATGAAACTACTTCATCTATTATCCATTGTTAAACATTGGGCCTTGCGGCAAGGGCATCAGGACATTATAAATGCAGCCATTTCCTCACCATTGGTTACTCTTCATGTTTGTACATGTCCATGATCAAAGCCTCTCATTTATTATTCCTTACATCTCTTGCTTGGTTTTAAATTACTAGGAACTGATTTTGGGCTTGCAGTTTTTAATTACTTTTCAAATTTCAAGATTAATTATTGTACATATTTTCCACTTGTTGAAGTATTTATGACTTTGTTAGCTGTTTTATTATTGTGCACTTTAGGTTTACCCTTCAGTGAGAGACATAGCTACTGTTTAAGGTTTTCTTGTCACTACTTGTAGTCTTTTGTATAATTTGGCCAAAGTATTAAAGTAAAAGTACCTAAATAATTAAAATCATTGTTCTTTTTCATGATCTTTTTTGGTCTTGTTCAAGGTTATTTCTTGCTAACCTAGTTTTAGATTAAAGGGGTTGGGTGTTTTGCTGATTATTATTAGTCTAATATTTTTCAATAAAATGAAAATTTTCATGTTGACTAAATTATTTTCTAGTAGCTGGGCAACCACCCGCTTGGGTGACATGTTTTTAATATTTCTTCTGTCTCTTTCTTGAGAGCCATTTAATTGGATATTAACTGCCTCCTCCACCCCCCCGCCCACTTCTTGATAAATTCAGCTTACCCTCTCTTCAATCTTTATAGCAATCAAATCACCCCTCACTTCCAATGTTTTTTCTTGCAATAACTGAGAATATGGAGGACCATAACCAGTTTTTTTGTAATTTTTTTAATGACCATTAATGTAATTTATTACTCATTCAAAATATTTCCCCGATTCTGATTGGCTAAAAGCACATTCATAATTCACCACAACCAGCTACTGATGACCAAATTTGGAAGAATTTTGTGTCTAATGAACCAATGATGTCAAATGTGCAGCATTCTTGCAGGTTAGGACACCGTTACCAAGAAGACCTGGGGACGAGGTTGAGTTGTTTTGGTTGTGAAAACAAAAAGAGCAGAACATTCTGCAGAACATTTTACTCGTTTCACGACGATTTATTGTCTAAAAACATAGCAAGAAGACAACTCGATGGACAAAATCTGCTATTTGGAGTATATTTGCAGACGTGAACAGCCCTTTATCTTCTAAACAGCCTAGCTTGTTTTTAAACTAGGAATTATTTTGAATGAATAATAAAGCAATTAATGAATTCGGCTTTCGTAGGATATGAAGAATTAGGCAGCCTACTCATTAATTACTCTTACTCATTAATTACTAAAAATAATGATGAGCTCATCCATAAAAAACAATAAGCATCCCATGCTGACCAAATTTGAAAGTCTTGTTTCATCAGGAGCTCAAAAGGTAACCAAGGAAATAGAGGTAGGCAAACTGGAAGGTGTTAAAATTATTAAACAGAATGGTAGGTTCTCTTCACAGGTTTTTTTTTAGAAAGTACAAAGGGGCGTTACCAAAAGATGATTACAAAAACTTTAACTTAGGAAACAATGCACAACACTATGTTTTACCAAGACTTAAATCTTCTGCGAATTAAAGGAAAGAGATAACTAAGGAATTTGAAAGACATTAACAGGTAGGCCTACTGTGTGCGATTTTGTTTGTCTTCTGAGTTCTTAAAAAGAGGAGATTTAGGTAAATTTTCAACAGATCTTAGTGAGAAGAGGGTTTACCTTAAAGTCTATTTTAGGAAACAGTTATGAACCAGTGGAGGAGATAAAGGAAACTGATACCAGCTCTTGACGGTCATAAACTTTGTTTCAATTTATTTCAATAGTTGAAGATGCTTAATTATAATACATCAAGGGAGCTTAAGCTTTAATACATAGTATCAGTGATAATGTAGAAGTAAACCCGATGGAGAGCTGCAATGAGCTGCAATATCAAGCATCTTTCTTCTAACGCTTTTTTCTTGGCTGAGGTGCAGCTTTCGACGAGGGAGTCAATTCGTGTTTACCACGTTTCAAAAATGTTTCCTTGTCGTCTGCAAAAATAGAAACCCTCCTTCTTGTTGTTGTTGTTTTTTTGGTTTCACTGGCGCACAAAAACAAATCGGTTAATCTATAGAAGAAGCACAAACATAAGAAGTCAAACGTATGTAGAATCTCTACAAAAAATATCGAGAAAAGAATTACCAACCTTCAATCCACAGTTCACTATAAAAAGAACCATCGAGATCGTCCATGCTTTCCCGGGAATCCTTAGCTTCCCGCGCACAAGCCATGCCGGCGAAACAACTAAAACGCCAGAAAAGGCATAAAAATACTTTTTGCTGACTTTTTTATTGTTAATAATAAATAAATAGACCTCACAAAGGATATAGTGAGAAAAAAAAATACCAGGAAAGTGCCGTTATCTTTAAAAAAACGACCTGCACGTCTTTATGAGCATTTGCACGTCTCCAGCGAACGAAATCTGCCAGTCGCTATTTTTCCTTCTTCCCTTCCCATGAGACCCCGCGCGCGCCTCAACCTAATCCCCAATCTTCTCTCATCCTAAAAAACACTTAAATAGCGACTGGGTACGAGTCTGGCCATAGCGCTCTTTACTTCGACATTTCTGTCGAACTTAGTCCTTTCGCGGTCAAATTAATGTTTTGGTTACCGTGTGGACCAATCACATTGCAGGAAATTACATATCCAGATCTGGTTGTGGCCCGGACTGACGAGAGAACGACTGGACAGAAGACAATTTGACTAACAGTAGACGACTGTTTGAGAAGACTGTGATGGTGATTGAACAAACGGGGCAATGGAAAATCAAACTTGCGTGAAATAACAAGTTTGGTGAATGTGCAAACGTTTGTTAAAGTGGTTGTAAAGATAATTCTTTGATCTTATTTTGCTTAAATTTACGCCTCCAGTAACCATACATTTACACAGTAACTTCAGTTATTTGCTATGCCAGCAAATATCAAGCAAACATTCATTTTTGACGTTTGATTTTACACAGAGAACAAAATTGGGGCAAATTTGAATCTAAACACCAAATTTACTAATAGGAGCAGAAGTGAAACAAAAACTGTGTAAACTTTATATTTACTCTACATTTACGCCACCCTTGCGGAAAAGTAAACTTTCACTTTTGAACAAAATTTACACCAAGAACAAATAAGTAGCAAGTGGTTCTTGTTGGAAAACGTGAAGGGACCCCTTGCGGAAACACTCTTGTTTTCACTTTAGAAACTTGCATTACCAACATTGTACCAGTAGTAAGTAGCCTTAAAAACTTGCATTACCAACATTGTTCCAGTGGTAAGTAGCCTTAGAAACTTGCATACCAACCTTGTAGCAGTGGTAAGTAGCCTTAGTAATGAAATGCTAACCATTTGTGTCATCTGCTGCCCACAAGTCGACTTAATGGACACCTTTAAGGGATACCTCTAACACCTAGAGTTGGTCCTTGTTGTACTGCATCTTTAGATTGAAGATAATCAATAGTTGCAGGCCGGGACAAGCGAAGCCCGCAGACTATTCTTGGCCAGCGGCGATTTATAAACTGTTCACGTTCTTGGAATGCCCATGTTTAAATTTTCGCCTGCACTTCCTTAAGTTTAGTTGCTACTAGTTTAAAAGTTTTTATCTTTTTAGGGGATCATACATATGTCTCGTAAGTATTAAAGAAACGGATGAGACACCTGTATAAACATTGGTTAGAAAAATTTACTAATTTAGGCGGGTTTTTTAGGCAACCATCAAGACTGAATCGCCTTGTTATGAACTTCAGAAAGTGAGTTTTGATGTTAGCAATCCGTTTCCGCTGACTGGCGAGTTCCGCATCGTGTTGGTGGAAGCTCGAAATGCGTTTCCAGGCCCCTCGCCGCCAAAGGCGAACACTTCAAGGTCAAACAAGAATCTCAAGGCGGTGGAATCAAGAACAGATCACGGGTAACTAATGATACTGCTAGCAGAATAGTAATAACACTAATACTACTTGATTATCCTCTCCTCTCATGGGGCTTTTCAGGGATAATGATCCAATAATTCAAATGAACATAATATTGGCTAAGAATCCCAACTGGTAGGAGGTGAACCCGCTGGCCATTTAAAAGCGTGGCTGAGGATTTGAACTCGGGACTACCGAGAACAAGTCCAGCTAGCGGTCAGGGCGAGACTTGAACTTAGGGCCTTCGGATTACAAGTCCGGCGCTCTAACCGCTCGGTCACGCTGCCTTCACAGAATAACTGACTTCTCTGTAGGTTGCATAGTTTTCAAAAATTAACTGTAGACTGTAAGCCAATGAGAAGACAGATAGTGCGTACAATGTGTGATTGTTGTTCTTAGTTGTTGGTGGTGCCATTATCGTGAAGCACCGGGTGGTATTGCGATTCCTTGGATGGGATATCAGTGCACTGAAGGGTTACCCCCAGTATTATGTCGCCGGTTGCAATTTATAAGAAAAAAAACACACACAACCACAAGAGAGAAGCAGTGAGAGAAATACAACACTGAACTGGATGTACCTACCAAATTCACCTTGCCTGCAAAGCCTTACTCGACAAGACTTTTCATTAATCAAGGAAGATCCTTGTTTAGCATGCGCTGTTTGTTGCTAGGATTTAGTCTCGAGCTCAGGCCTTAAAGCCGTGACCTTGATTCAGCAGGCTCAGTTATGAACGTCCGTTTATCAATACATTAATCGGCTCGCACTCGAAAAACCAGTTTCACAAGAGAAAAAAAGATTGACTAGTCGAGAGGTTCGCGCTGCAGTGCGGCGACAGCAACGACTCGACGCGCTTCAGGCAGAGCGTTCTTTTTTCCTTCTTGAGTATCAAGAAGAGTGCAAAGGATGGCAAGCCCTAACCCCCTTTCCGCCTTGTGCACTGACACTCCAATACCTCCAAACTACACTTTCCTTGAGTTTTTACTCCTCTCTTAAATCTTGTTTGTCGGTAGGTAATTGAAGAGATCTCCCAGACGAGAGTTTCCCCCAAAGCTAGAAAAACAAAGGACAGAGTCAGATGAAGGTCGGTTGACAACGAATTTCGGTCATATTTTGTGGTGTTGAGTTTGGAATAATCTGATAATGAGTCTTGACTATTTTACCTGCACTTTAAAGTGCGCGGATTTATTAAGGAGCTTAATAAGCAACGTCGACGGCAATGGCGGCGAATACTTCGCCCAAAAAGTAAATTTGCGCTATTTCAAGTTCCAACTGTTTTAATTTGTCAAATGTTGACGTTAGTTTTCTTTTCAGGAATTGAATTCTAAAGGAACGTATATAAGTTCACGAAAAGAAAAAGGAAATCGTTTTGTTGTGCTCACGTCCTCCATAAAACGTGAAATTAGGAAGTTACACGTCGTAGTCGTGCAACTACGGCAAAGAAGTCTTTAGTATACGCCGCCGTCGTTGTTGCCTAAGCTCCCTATTGTCTCCTCTCAATACCTGTGTTTAACGCATTGGCCTAAGGCTGACGTTCCTTTATCAGAGACCAGTATTTCTTTGAGTTTTCTCTCATTATTTTGCAGTTTGATTTGGTTTTTTGGGGTCATTTTGACTCTAGTACTGTCATTTCCCCTTATTTTTTGCGTACACCCTGGATTAACCGTCCGTAATAGCGAGTGCCTGTAACTAGATGATAAAAACGTACAAAACAAATCCTGCTGCTGCCAAAATGCCACTCCTTGTCAGTGAAAACGAGATTTAGGACAATACAATTGTGCTTTTGGGCCGTACGTCCATAATAATGGGAATTAGTTTCTGTCAAACGTCAGTAACGTTTGGCGGGAATTGCAGCCGCTGTCGGTATTAGCGGGGTGTCCTTCCCTCAAAAGCAAGGTGTCCACCATACGAGAGTTGATTGTATCATAAAATAAAAGTTGTTTTATCGTTTAGCTCCTCCAGCTCCTCTGCTGAGCGCCTTCTGGTCTCCTTCCAAGACTATTCATCTTGAAGCCAACAGCACTGGAACAGTAGAAATCCACTTCCTGCCTTTTGACATCGGCCACAGACAATGTTCAATTCTTTTCATTAATGATCAAATTGGCGAGTTTCTTTACTGCATCGAAGCAAACGCCACTCTCCCTCTCCCCTCCCCCATGCCAGTAGCAGATTCCCCCCACAGTGTACGAATCAGTAGTGCGGCGGCTGCCCGGACTGGCCGGGGGTTGTTTGGTGGGGATGAGAGGGTGGTGTACTGGAAGTGTGAGCATGATGAGTCCTTCACAGAAGACCTGTATATTCCAGTGGTTAATGAAGCAAGAGAAAATGCTCTGGGTAAGGTGGTTATAACTTAAAGTATGTATTTTCTTTGATAAACCAAAATTCAAAATGTAACTCTTTGTGTTCGTTGGTATCATAGTATAATATCGTTTGATAAAATGTTCTGTGATGTTCTGGCCGATTAAGACCCTCCAGGCTGAAATTTGGCCAGTTGAGCACCGTATATGTGAGAGCCACCCACAGTTCTACGAGGCTGAAGAATCATTTAAGCCGGGCTTTCGCCGAAAATCAGGGGTTATTTTACGGTTTTTCATGGCGGGAGGTAAAAACAGGATCTTCAACTCAATCCAGTTTTACTAAGAAAAACTAGATTATATTAAAACGTGAAGAGACAAAAACAAAAACGACATCCTGAGGAGCCCTTGTTTGGCTGGCAGGAAATGTTTTTGAGCTATTTTGAAAAAATAGCTCATATGTCAGTGGTGTGAGCGTATGTATCTTTGTGGCTTTGTATCTTTGTGGCTTTGTATGTTGGGATGTTTGTTGCAAGAGCCAATAAGGTTGAAGGTACTATGAGTTGATGCTTAGGAACCAATGAGATCTTGGCATCTATTTAAACATGGCATTGGTAAAGGTCGAACAAGGGCACTTTGAGACCGCCATCTTGATCCTTCACAATTTTTTCTTCTTTTATTACGGGTACAGGTGTTTGGAAGCATTACATAAAATATCTTCATGATTCAAACGCTGAGAACAGTGATGCAGCTGTTTAAGGGTTCATATTTAAGTTTGGATGCTGCTTCGAGGCATTTCTGACCTAATTCGGCTATCGGTACAACGCACGTCAGTATGAGTTCTGTTTCACCTGCTACAACTGGGAAGAGTATAAAAGATCATATATTTTCAAATCTCTTCCAATGAAGCAATAATTAATATTTAGATATAGACTTTAATTCGAAAGTATGCGCCCTATAAAATGTGGTTTTAGAAGTTTAAAAGGCAGCTTATTTTTTTGAAAGCTGTATCGAGTATTGCTAATCCTGTAGACAAGCTTTAAAAATATTATTCTCTCGCTTACAAAGTTCAACCGACCTTTTTCGTTCTATTTAGTAAAGATGCATAACTTAAGTAGAAACAGTAGCGTTAGGGAATAAAATTGGAAGAAGCTAGTTGACACAATAATTAGATACTGTTATATTGAGTGGAGTAACATGATGTAAGTAGAAATATATTTCGGCAGTTTGATAATTTTATTGGAAGTTAATAAATGTTAGGCTATCAACCTTGACGTTGCATGAAACATAATTTAATTGCAGATGTTGTAATAAAGCCGAGGTGATTTCTTAAAATCGTTTGAGAAAATTTTGTAGTAAACAATTTGCCTCTTTTTTACGAACGAATTGTGAAAGGGCCAAAGACCAACATCTTCAAATGCAAATTGTGTGCATGAGTTATTTTTATAATTCTGTTTACTAGATTACTGTGTGATAACTCGAATTCCCTCACGTACGAACGACGAAAGGGGGCAAAGTCCAACACTTTCACGTGCCAGCTGTGTGACTGTACATCTCATGCAGAATGGCTTTTCACAATGATAAATAGTAACTTGGACGTATGAAGACCTGTTTCCTTTTGTAACCAATGCCTCAAAAAAGGCTCTTGTCTTTTGAGAAGCAGTGGCTTTTAAAACGTGAAGAAATAAGTTGTCGGAGTTAAAGACTGTTTCACTGAGTAGAATCGCACGTGTAAACCTCGTCAATTATGATGATGCAACCATCTACCACAATGATAAAAATCCTGGTATTTCGTAACTATTCAGTATTCGATGAGTCACATTTTGGCTTACGAAACTCCGAGGAAACCTTAGAGTTTTCCTTCTAATCAACGTTTGGTGAGTAGAAATTTATTTCACTTTAACGATTTGTTTAACTTGCACCAGATGTAACAGGGAAAGACAGAGGAAAGTGAATAAAAAGCTTGAGGATCGACTCAGCTGAGCGTTTCGCGTTTTCATTTATGCACCGCAATACGCAATTTCGCACAAAAACCCAATCTACATTTAGGATGAAAGAGGTAGATTCATCACTCTTGGTAAGGTTACACCGAAGCACTAAAGTTACACTGAAGCATTCAAAATAGCTCATGCACGTTTAACGTGCCTATGTTTTGTATTTGGATGCCAGTTGAAGAAGAATATTAAGCAAATGACCGAATTAAGTGAAGTTTAACTTAATCTCCTCCCTCTCTCATTCATTTCAAGCTATCGCCGCTCAACAGCGCATGTCAGAACGCGAACTTCAGCGACGGAAGCTGACAGGAACGCTGGCCAGTTGCACAGTCACAGCAAGTGTAGCCGCGCTTGGCCTGGGAGGAGACAGATTCGTACCCGCTGCTGACAGCAGCACGAGAGAGTCCCTCGAGAAGGAGGTCACTGAATTCTATACAGAGCTTAGCTCCAAGTTCTTCCAGGCTCCTACTCAGATCATTATTTCAACCAGCGCTAACAGAAAGAACGGTTAGATTTGTGGTTGAAACTCTTAATTAATTATTCCTTGAATAAAATAAGTTATTAAATCCAGCCCAAAGAACCCGAGGTAGGTTATCTCGAGATTTCTCGAGGTATTTCCAGTCTTCTACGTTGAATAGCCTTACATACTCGGTGACAGAACTGGCTCCTTAAAAGAAGCTAGTAACCTCAAATTAGAGGTTGGTACTTTCGCCAACATGCCTAAATATCTTGCAAAACAATATGCTTTCAGAAAGTTGATTTGATTTTCTTTTTATTATTGTTTCAGCTGAGTTGACCTCCACAGCTCTCAAGTCGTTGAAGAACTCAATCCCACTATCCGTCACTTTCCAGCCCAAAGGACCTGGGCACTACCCGTGTCAAATTATTCTTAAGTCTGCGCATGATCTGAGAGTGTACCAGGTGGAATGTACAGTAACTCCCGAGGGATCAGCTCTTGAACTGGAATTTGTGTCACCCACGCATCAGTCAGTTACTCAAGACATACCTGTGGTAAATATCATTTCTTATTCATTCATCGTATTTAAAAAGGAAAAGTTGACTCGTTTAACTGTCTCGTCAGTCAGTGCAAAAGTTTTATAATTGTACCGTCAAGCCAGTTACCCACTAAGGCAGCGTGCAAAGAAAGTCGTGTCCGATAGCCCGGGGCTAGTGGATTTTGCTATCGGGCTAGTGAATTCCGTTTTTAACTTGCCCGACGGGCAAGTGATGTTTTTTGAGGAATTCGAATAACAGAAGAACTATGAAATCAATTCTGCTAGTCAAAAAATTTTGAGGGGCTAGTTGAAATGACATCTGGGCTAGTAAATGCTAGCTTCAGTTTGCCCGAATGGCAAGCTGTAAAAATGATTTTCTTTGCACCCTACCACTAATACATAGGTATCATATCACAAAGATATCATATTCTTTTTTAGAGTTTTTCCTGTTCACCCGAACACGTATTTAGGCTGATTTAGCAACAGAACGGGAACGTCATTTGACGACGGGAAAGCGCGCGGTAAGGACTAAACTCGACTTCCGGTGCCCAATTTACCGCTGTGCCATTGGTCAAGCCAGTTGTTTGATTTGCGCTCGCCGTCGTCAACTGACGTTCCCGTTCTGTTGCTAAATCAGCCTTTTATCGCTCTTCTGACCCACGTGCACCGAGCGCCACCATATTGGAAATTGATTTGGACATAACTAGGAGCAGATCTCTTATGAATCAATATCGATATAATAAAAGTCATACTGGGCTCCGAGGCTTAATTTTTGTAAGGAATGACAACTTGCTGGGCCATCGTCCAGAATGACGTGACATATCCGGGAACTTTATGCGCAATCCTAGCGCCAGACTTCAAAAGATAATCAGCGAGCCGAAATCCAAACAAATAAAGAGAAAACAGACAAAAACTGGCTCTGACTCTCGCTAAGCGGCAAAGTTGGTCAGGTGAAACATGTTTGTTGCAGAGAAGCGTAAGATTATATTGTACTCATTTCTTTTAGGTTAACCAAAGTAATCAAGATTGGCATTTGGCGGCGACCATAGAGGGGGAGGGTTTTTACGGACCTCCTGTTATGGTTGCCAAATCACACCTCTCCACCCACTACCCCCTGATGTTTAGACCCTCCTACGAGGGTAACGTAGAGGTGAGTGCTTGATTGCTGAGTAAGAACGGATCTTTGAGGGTGGGGAGTGTGACGTCTTTGGACTACTTCCTCTCGCCTCTCAGTATCCCTCACCTCTTGATATTAGCGAACTTAAGCAACGAAAACGTTGACGTTCATGATGTCAAAAAAGAAAACAAGAGGAAGTTAATCGTTTCCCTCTTACAGTGGTCTGACTGGATAAAGTCATACTACAGGAGTTAAGTAAAGCTGTTGTTGTTGTTGTTTTTTTAATTTGTTTTGTCAGACAGAGGCGTTCATTCAAGGGAAAAAAACCTCCGGTTGCTATTTATGAAGTCCTGGATGCCAGCGTTCTCGGGTTAAAGCTCCCTATTAATATTTAAAAACCTCAATTTGACGATGTGTAGAAGATTTAACGACTATTATTCAATCAAGTTTGCTAAGTTTTCCATAAGAATAATACGGGCTCCATACACACTCCATATATCACTTTTGATATTTACTTGAGGGTCCGCAATTGGGCTTTGCTAAGTTTGAAAGTTTTGATATCTATGCGTTTGTCTCATCACTCAGGGAAGGCTGGTTCTGACGAACACAGTAGATGGTACGGAACAGGTCTATAAACTGTTAGGAACAGGACAGAAACCACTTCCACGTGATCATATCTTGATAGAGTGTCCCGCAAGAGAAAGGTGACGATAACAAGCCTTACAAACCTCTAACAGTCTTTGGAGAGGCATACTGAAACTCTTTATTTTTAAAAAAAAAGACTTGTGCCTAGATTGATTCTTTGTCTTAAGTGTTGCGTCGTTTCAGTTTATGCTTGTTTGTCTTTGCTAAGATCTATCAGTCCGCAATTTTATAGCCTGTCAGCAAGCTCTCCATATGGCAGGCGATGCGAACCTTGCGAGAACTGCGGCGCGAAATGCTTGCAGCTAGCAGTTTTAACTTGCCTTTACCATATAATAAGCTCAACCCTAGTTTTAGCGGTGATTAGTTCGATTATTATACGTAAATTTAGCACTCGGGTCTCCAATATTTTGTCCTGTTGTTTAACTTGTTGTTTTGTCTATGGACGAACGAGAGCATTACAAACACGGAATAAGTCCAAAATAACAAGTGAAATAATTTGTTCTGTTAACAGTGCCACCTACACCCTGCAAGTACCGAACGTGACAAGAAACAAACTCGTTTTTCAGGTTTGTATAGAAACTTCTTACCCCAATATTGAAGGTCTCGAAGCACTACGGAATGAATCAGGAGACACAGAAGCCAGGCTGTATGTTCTGCCTTAAAGCTCCTATCTGCCGAGGCGTTGTCAGCTAAAAAGTGTCACATAATCCAGAATTATAAGAAGTCGACTTGTGTTGTTTCATGTTCGCTTTCATTTGAGCTTGACACATATAAGTAGTTTTTATTATGTCATAAGACCAAACTATTACTAGTCCTTTCGGGGGACGGGGTGGGGATGATAATTTTGGAAAATAGTAACAGGAGTATGCGAAGTTGTTATACCTCAGGAAAGCCAAAACCGGACTCCAAACGTCTATCGGTTCAGGAAAAGGACACGGGGAAAGTCCTTCCACAAATAAATTGGTTTTAAAAGCTGAGCGGATCGAGACATTTGAAATTTTTTTTTCTTTAAAAATGATAGCCCTAGGGTGGCCTTTCTGTTTTTCGAACTGAAAAATGTCTGCACCGATGTCTTCTTTTTTTCGAAGTATTAATTTTAGACCTAAAAACATGATGAGTCGACACCAAGTAAGGGATTGCCCATCCCTGTCTCTATTACACCTGAGTAACCCCTATGAGCTGACCAGTTAAAGCATATTTACACACACCAAATGTACCATCCAGAAATCGAAAACAGGTCAATGTAACTACAGCAGTAGCAACAAGCACCGGGCTTTAAGTGTAGTTCCAGTAAGGGCGCGAACTTCTGTTTGTTTTTTGTTTGAATTCTTTGGGTGGCAAATTGCCAAACCTGTGTCAAGGTTCTTGTGGTTTCTTGTTAGGTGAAGACCGACTTGGACATTGTCAGTGGCCCAGCTTCAGTAACAATTCTTCCTGGCAAAACTGCTGAGCACGTGATAACGGTCTCACCCTGGAAACGAGGCGCTTTTACTGGAATTGTTTCATTTGAATCATCCGGGGACTCGCCTGGAGCAGCGAGGTGAATACATTCAAACTGAAAAAGTAGCTAAGGAATCATGAACATTAAAAGACTTACTGAATTCTGTTTCTGTGGTTTGTTGTGTAAAGTGGTATAATAATAGATCTATTTGTTTTAAGGGTACAAGTTGATGAGGAAGATGAAGACGGTCAAAATGTTCCCTTTAAAGCTCAGGAGCTCGCATCTGATCCACGCCAGAGGCCCTATCGCTTATGGTACACTATTGAAGTTCAAGCCTCAGCACCTCCGCCTGAAAGAACCTTAGAAGTCACGTGTGCTGCACACTCCGTAGTAGCAGTAGACATGGCGGTGACGAATCCCACCCGCGAAAGGATTGTTATGGATGTACTTATTGAAGGGGTGGCTTTATCTGGTGAGCCCACGGTCATTTTGCATCCAAGGCAACAAGTTACATATCACGTGACATTTTCGCCAACCATCATTGGTGAACACACTGGAAGGTAGGCGGGTATAAGTCTTATCTCTAAAACTTTGCTCACAGAAAAATGGAAGACTTTAGGCAACCCTCAAAGTTAAAATTTTTGTTCAGTGGCCATTTGGCGATCAGCTCTTTGGGTTTAGTTGCCAGGGGAAATTTTTAGGCGCCAAATTATATTAATAAATTAATATATCAAAATTGTCCTTAACAAAAGCAGTTAGCAAGTTTAACTTAAAATGTAGCACTGTCTATAAATTACTCGTTTACTGTGCAAGGCATTAGTTACTGATAGTCTGAGAATAAGGTTTGCAGATTCATCTCCTTGAATCAATGCTGAAACGGAATTGTAAAGACAATTACCATTTCCAGTTGTCTTTAGGGCCTTCAATCATTCTGTATAATCTCCAGTTGGTATATGAGAGCAGAACTTAACTCATCCTCTGTTAATGTGTTCAAAATTTCCCAGTTGCAACTTGATAAGCGACCTATTTTTTTTCTGATATTTGTTTCGCATATCTTTTTAGAGATAACGTCGCGCACTTAAAAATACTCCGCAACGAGTTGTACTGGGAAAAAATGTTTTTCCCAATCAATTGAAATGAACCCAAACAAAAATGCCGCTTACGAAATAATAAATTTTCTTTTCCCTTTATCATCGCTATAGGTGTTAAAAAAAACATTTTTTGCAACAACCATAAGCTGTCAGTTTTGCCATGTTTAGTTTCGCTTACAATCATCGCATTTGTTTACAAAACCGCGATTCAACTCGCAGCACGGTTCACATGTTACGGTTATCACATAATGTTCTGTGTTGAATTTGCACCAATTTAGCTTTCCCTCTTCATGTTATTAGATTGTTTCAGTATTGATTCAAAAATATTTATAATATGTAGTCCAGTTAAAAAACCACCGAACTTGGCTAGACAAGCATTCCTAAGATATCGAAGAAATCGTCACTGTCGACAAGCAAGGTGCTTCGATTGCGTGCCATTTTTCACGTGTCAAAAGTTAAAATTTCACGTGCAAGGCAACAGACTGAAGGCGATTAGGCGAACGAATGCAAGTCAAGTTTCATTGATGTTCATTTTCAAAACGCTTAGCTCTGGGACTTTTTTAAGTTTTCAATTTATAATATAGCATGTTTTTCAACGGAAAAGTAAAAAAGTAATGTAATTCAAACCAGCTAGAATAAATGTTCTTCAGATTTCAGTAGAAGTGATTACCATTTCTGTTTCTATACGCCACAACACGAATCTGTTCTTCACGGTCGCCAGCTTGGCAACTAATCTCCAAATCAACTCGCCAGTTCCAAAATTTTAGGCGCCATGGCGACTAAAATGGTCGCAACTTGGAGGGTTGTTAGGACTCTTAAAGTACTTTGCAGATAATACTTTTCACTCTTTTACGTTCCACTTGCAGTGTGGTTTTCCAGAATGAAGCTGTGGGGGAATTTTGGTATAACCTGATACTGAAAGCAACCACGCCTCTTCCGGTTACCCTACCCTCTATTCACTGCGAAATTGGCAAGTAAGTGTTAATCAAGGTTGCGTTCGATTGATCGTATTCTGGGATAAAATTGCACAACAGTTTTGTGGCAAATCTCTTGTGCTGTAATTTTTGGACCATCGTTTCCAGCAGATATATAGAGATTGCAACGCAGTGAATGCCAAAACAAGTGAATTTTAGAGTATATTCCATTTATTCCCGGGCCTATTTCGGAATACGCCGGTCAATCGAACAAACAAACATCAAGTAGCTATGAGAATTTTTATCATTTGAAAAATATAATGTGGTGTGTGAGGCTGTAAGTCCAAGCCTAATCACATCGTTCAATGCTTGAAAAGTCAATTTAGTCTTTTGAAACTCTTAGAATCTCAACCGACTGAGTTCCGTTTTTTTTTTCTCAGCTCCACCTATCAGATGATTCGCCTACGGAATCCAACAGATGAGTCACTGGTGCTTACTCCTCACTGCTCCAATACTAATAACTTCAGCCTTGAGCTTGACAATTCCAAACAGATTCTCCTGGCAGCTGGCAGTGTGTTAGAAGTGCCGCTCAAGTTTACTCCTTCAGCCATTGGGAATCTGCAATCCGCGGAAGTTTCCTTCCACTGCCCTCAGGTAAAATGTCGATCTGCTTGATATCACCTTGATGTCTTTAGCTGAAAATACTTTTTTTGTAACATATCTCAAACGAGTGATTTAACAAGAAAAACAACGTGCAAGCGTTCGAGTAGTGGCTTAACTGAGTTGGTAGCGTGCGGAAAATCCCATTCGCAAAAACCAAAACGCCCCGTGTTCTCCTCGCTTTGTTTTTTCTTTGAAATACTCGTAATTTCCAGGGTCGTTTTCGGTTTTTAAAATGGCAGAGACAAGAAGACAAGATAACGAGAAGACCCTCGAAAGGAGGTTGTACACTGACACTAGGTTGTATTCGCAACCTGATCATTTCCCCCAACAAAGCTGGAACAGACAAAATCATCTGACTGAAACTGAGGATATTTTCTCAATCACACTCGTGCACTTTAAGTAGCCTTTCATTTTGTTCTGTTGGAGGTTTACTCTGCACCGGGTCGAAAGTTTTGCATGGAAGTATTCAAATTTGTACGCAAAGTAACATCAATTCTTTTTTCGCCATTGTAGCTTGGAAACTGGGTATTTCACGCGCATGGTACCGGGATGATGCCTGGTACTATGGACCCTATCAATATCTACTCTGAGCTTGGTGGAAATTCTTCAGTTATAATTCCGTTTAGAAACCCAACCGAAAGACAAGTGGTTGTTGATATCATTATGAAGGAACGGCTCTTGTCGAGGAGTGGTGAGATTTTCATTGTTACTTTTGTGATATATAATATTGTAGTATTTACCAAATCAGTGAATAGCAATTTTCGGCGTTTTGATTGGCTCCCGTAACTCGGAATATCCTTGGCTATTCACTGTTTTGCGACCGGAGCCAAGATGGCGTGTCGTTTCAAGACATTTTCCGATGACGAAATTTGAGCGATAAGTGAAGCAGTCGTACAAACAAATACCAAGAAAGCGACGAACTTTGGCTTCTCGGTGTTAACTGGTAGGTAGAAAAATTATTTTCATGCTGAATATACAACAAAATCGTAAAAATGCATTTGACAAAATCCCCGAAATCTTTGCAAATTGTAAACAAAGTTCCTACTAAGTGACGTTTTTAATCTACAAAAATTTACTTTTTTTGTTTGTTGTCTAACTGATTTGGTAAATACTAAAACAAAAAACCCCCTCAGGGGTCGGTGAACAGCGCTAGATATGAACCTCGACGCTTCGCGTGTCGGTATAATGCCTTTTCACCTCCCCTTCGGGGCATAGTTGTATAATATCACAAGTATATATATAAATAAATATATAAGGGACTGGTCAAAAAGTATAGGTGGGGGTGGGCCGGAGCAGAGAGGGGGTGGGTCATGAGGTTTTGAGCCTTGCGCAAGGGGTGGGTTGTGCAATTTTCAGCTACCCTTAGGGGGTGGGTCACCCTATTTTATTACATAGATAGGCACTAACTACTAACGAGACAGTTGACCACACTTGTTATATAAAACACAGCCAGCTGTGACAGACACATCTATACGGGCATGAAACCCTTAGTTAAACTTTTTTTTTTGCGCTAACAAGCATGTCCTTTAACGATTTTACTTTTTTGTAAGGTTTTCTTTCAAAGTTTGTGGTTAGCCTCTGTCCATCAAGCGGTTTTTTTTTAATTTTGAATTATTTTCCTCAAAGGTTGTTTTTGAGGAGTTTTTTCGTAGGATTCTCAAGGCTTCTCCTTTTTAACACTTGGAGGGTGACACGAGGTAAATTGAGAGTGCAAGAAGGTTTCCATTTGTTTAAAATGTGTCTTTGCATCAAGGATAGATTTTTCTTTGACTCTTGCGCCTTTGTATACAGCCGTATCTAAAAACGCAGTCTCAGTGTCAAATGTTTCGGCCGTGAATTTAATAGTTGGGTGATGTAAGTTTGCTTGTTCAATGAAGGCTTCAATGTCTGGTTTACTCATGTCCCGTAGGGAAAAGGTATTGTGTATGTAGGATTTCCACAAACTGTTGTTCTAAAGATGGTTTTGCTTAGAGTTGTTGTTTCAATATACGCCTTGAAAATGTTGGCAAAGGAATCAAAACTGCTGTCTTTACGCCCACTGCAGTTCCATGGTTTTGTGGGTAGCACTTTCCATTGATGTGGAAGAAATTTTCTTTGAGGACTATTCTAAGCATTTCCGGCAAGTAATGTGAAGGAATGGGTTGTCTTTGTAGACAGACAATTTCAATATACCCTCGTTTTGCGGTATATTTGTGTCAAGACTCATAACGTCCATCGAAACAAGAAATGTTCGGTTTTTCACATTTGTCTTTTCAGTGAAAGGTATCATGTCTGTGATTTTGATATTGGTTGTAGCAGTGTATCAACAAATTTTGTAAAACACAGAACAAGGTTTTATTGGATTATTAAGAGGAAACCAAACATTCATGTTTTAACAAGGGGGTGGGTCATGGAATTTCCAGCCTTGCTTTAGGGGTGGGTCAGTCATTTTTGTGCCGAAGGGAAGGGGTGGGCCATGTGCTTTTTATCAACCACATTTCCAAATGCTCCGGCCCCCCCCCCTTCCTATACTTTATGACCAGTCCCTAATATATAGTAAATATGCTTATGTATATAATATTAAGCAGAAACAACATAACACCATAGGATTTTTTTCATACTGAAGTTATGTAGCGCTTTTGATACGTGTACGTGTATATGCTTTTATTTTATCTGTTACCTTTTATTAATCTTCTTTCATTTACTTTCAGGCGGCTTGTTTAATATGCGTCTTGACTCGCAGCCTGAAGCCTCGGTCTTCTGCCTTCTTCTCAAACGCGCTAAAAGCATCCCGCTGGAGCCTGGTGCGACTCTGGATATCCCAATCTCCTTTGACCCAGACACCATGCAGATGTACGAGGCTACAGTAACAGTGACCATTCACAAAGAAGACCCTGAGGACTCTTGGAAAGGCGATTATCCGAGCATGATGAGCACCCGTATGGTCAATGACCTTCACTGGATATTTCCGGTTCGGGGAATCCCCGAGTCCTATCCCATCAAGGCGTCCCAGGCCCCTTGTGTAGAGTGTAAGGCCCGGAGCCGCGTGGAAGAGAGGGTAGAGGTGACGCTGACCGGGTTGTCCCCTAATACCGCGGGCTCCGGCTTAGGGCGTTATCCAAGTATTACTCCGATTAATTTGCTGGGACGTCACGTGCCTGGAGAAATGGAATATGGAGTTGATTACTTGAACGTACCAGAAGAATTTAGGTAATTATATCTCTTCATAACAAATATAGCATCATCTTGTTTATTAACCTTTTCACTCCTAGAAATTTTGTCGAAAAACATCTTTTGAAGCTAGTCGAGAGGCATCAGGCCAAAAGAGACAAAACCTGCCCAAAACGCTGTTTGTACATCGACGTTTTCTGTCCCTAATGCAAAATATCAGCTTTGAAAGTTCAGGCATGCGCAGAATGTGATTTTTATCTTTCGCGTTTCTTATTCGTATCCTTTCCTATTTTTTCCCTCCTTGGACTTTTACTTGGCTTCATTTCTTTTTGTAGGGAACTTTCTTTTGGAAAACTTGTAGGGTCGTAGAATTACATAATGTAACGTAGGAGGGTAGTGGTTCAAGATTTCCATTGGTCAACTTATCATGGGTTTTAACCTTCCTTTTCCAGCCTGTTTGGCGTAATTGTCTTTGTAACCCGTAAAAAAGTTACAAACAAATCACAGCATGTTATTGTAAAAACTTGTAAGATAGGTTAAGCCACGTACTATCCTTAGAAATTCACAATTGAGAATGGTGTCATGCATGATGATACCGAAACGTCGGCTGTTAACGTTAACATTCGCTTGCTTAAAATTCACAATCTTTATTTATGCTTCAGATACGAACTCATTTTTGAAGACGCCGAAAGCCAATCCTGTCTGGAGAGGTCATTGGGTGTAAGTCTGTTAAGAAAGATGAAAAATCAAGTTTCTGGAGTAGTCATTCTCGTGTTTAACTTCGTGTTTTCACCATTCAAGCCATTCAGGTAACTTCAAAATGTTTCGGTCTTGCATTGAATTTTAGTCCTGTGTTATACCATATCCCATTGCTCCAAACTGATTTTTTTTAAGTTAATTAACTGTTATTGAAGAAGGCTGAGTATGATGTGAAGAAATATGCAGGTCGAGGTGGATAGCATCCCCTGAGATCAGCATAATTCTTCACATCATAAGAAAGCCGAATTCAATATTTGCTTTACTGTTTATTAAAAATATTTCTAAGTTCTTAAGAAGGTTGCCTCCTCTATTTGCCTATTTCTTGGCACGGTTTCAGGAAATCCTCTCCAAAAGGTAGATATCATCCATGGAGCAATATGTTTTGCGTTTTCTTTTATTTCTTCCGTTCAGTCTTCAGAAATTCAGCTATTTCGTCTTCGGATAGCTTTGGAAGCAATTTTTTGTAGTTCACTCGTGAATAGACAACAAGGTGGCAGCTCCTGGAAAGAGGTATTGCCCGAGCAGCCTCGTTTCCATGCAAATATACCATCGATCAATCTTGTTTGACAACAAATATACTATGGAATCGATGGTATCTTGCTCGCATCTTCCAAATTTGGTCAAGGTCATTAGCCGTAAAAGAAATGCTCAACAGCATTGCTTCCGACGACCAACAAAATGATTTCGAGCCACGCCTTGCTAGATAGACCACTTAACGTGCCATTTTGAGCATTCGCTCACGGCAGGTCCAACTTTTATTTTTAAGGTGAAACAATTTATAGGAATTTACTTTGATATAGTCAGATCTGAATTCAAATTCGGATAAACACTGTGTTACCTCAAGTGTTTTTTGAATCACCGGACTCTAAATGCTATATCATGCTTTCATCCAGTCACTGGTGCGAGGGGAACTGACAGGTTTTTTTCTCGTTGCTGTTCGTTTTTGCAGCCACAAGACACAGCTGATGATCACGGCCGCTTCTGGTGGAGTGTGGAGATTTCCCATCCGAGTGTTAGCTACTGAACCGGAAGTAGAAGATGTAATTACTATCGAATCTGTTGGTCTAAATAAGGAATCAGTTGTGGGCTTCAGGATGAACAGTCAAATGAGGTGGGTGTATGGGGCGTGATCGGATCACGTGATTAACGCAAAATCTGCTGCATTCTCTGTATCACAGTTCCTTTAGGAGCAAGGATTAGAGCAGTTGGTTGGTGTGTGCCTCTCGTGCAAGAATTCCCCAGTTCAGTCCCCAGGGGGTAACCTCGTCTTTGTTTCGACTCCTTTCCTTTCCTTGTATCTACGAGTAGCTTTGAGCAGCCTATGAACAGCCACCCCCTCCACTCAGAAAATTGGGGGGGGGGGGTGGTTATACACAGGCTGTGCTTTGAGTACCTTTTAATATCCGTCAAATGGGGTAAGGCGGACCGGAGGAAGATGAGGGCACCGTCGACCTCAGGTTTGTCAGTCAGGCCCCGGTTGTTCAAACGTTGGATAGCGCTATCCCGCGGATAAATCTCTATCCAGTCGATAAGTATTACGGAAATCAATTACGCTATCCGCTGGATAGTGATTTATCCGGTGGATAGCGCTATCCAACGTTTGAGCAACCGGGGCCAGATGATGACTTTTTCGAGCTAACGACGTAAAATATAAACTCTTCACGGTTACCTTTATTATCTTCGCCCTTTTATATAGTAAATTTACTTTGCAGAATAACAACTGTATAGTCTACCTTTTTTTCAGGCACACCCTTCCATTCGAGGCCTTCTTCGCTCCCAGTTCTGACACGGACTTCACAGTCACCGCAGCATACGGGGAACTTCCTCCATCTGGTACTGAAGGAACACTGATCAAGGTGGCATACAAGCCTCAAATATACGGCAAGACGCACAAGGCTAAACTGGTGGTTCAGGTAAGATCTATTAGCCTCAACTGACCCTTGTTTCCCACTCGACCCCAGATCCTCTCAATGCGCTGAAAAAGCACGAAAACTTTAGGGCGATGAGTGATGACAGAAATGACCTTCTCCCGCCCTTTTTGTTATCATGCCCCACATATGGCTGAGTTTTTTCTAGTCTCCCATGATTCTTCTTGTCTACTTACAAATGACAAAAGTTGTGCTTGGCGACTATCTTCGTTTTGCTGATAAAGTTCATCATGTTGACAATATCTGTGAGGCGTTTTTCGTTTGAATTCTCAGCTATAGGACGGGGCTAGTCGCTAATTATATTAACGAGGTTAAAAACATCAACTTTCAATAAGTTTCCTGGCCAAAGCATGATCATTTCATTAAGTCCGCATTTTTCTTGGTTTTCTCGCAGACATCAGACATGCAGTGGACGTATGATATTCTAGGTACAACCGCTGACTACAATCCGCCAAACGCGCGGGCAAGAATCACGTCCACCAGTGCAAACTCGGCGCGCCGGATAGTGAAGCAGAAGAAGAACTATGTACTAGAGAACTTGAAGCTACAGAGTACAGCAGTGTCATCCCCATATAAGGGAGTAAGACTTGTGTCACGCTCAGCTAGATAACAACGACGCACAAGTGTACTGTACAGTACCGCAAATGATCCCCAACCGCAAATGATCCCGAGACCGCAAATGATCCCCAAAACGGACCCCAAATGATCCTCGACCGCAAGTGATCCCTAAAGTCGACCGCAAATGATCCCGTGAAAACTTGAGGAATGGAATGGATTTTATGGGACTGATTACAAAAAAGGACTGATTATAAAAAAGAATCCTTTTTCTCTCGCCTTTTAAAGAAAAAGGGAAGGAGGACGCTACATCTCAGGTCAATTTATACAAGGTGAAAACAAAAATTGAATAAATCTGAAAAGTATGGTATTAACCGTATACTTCTTCCTTTGTCGATTGCTTCAATTTTTTTTTGAAGAATGTTCGTCTCTTGAAAAATTTAAGACAGGCAGGACGTTAGGCCGAAAAAACTCTATTATTTTAATGCCTAGAAGCTCAACTTTTCTACTGAGGAATACAAAGCTGGGCACCCTCTACATAACAAGAGCTTTATTGACATTACTGATCTTTTTGAAAGCGTGAAATTAATCAGCCAGAATATTTAATTTTGATTTTTCTCTTAAGTGTTAATTTTACGTGATAAACAGCAAGACATTTGTTTGTTACTTAGAAACAAGACATGATTTAACATAAACACAAGACAAAATGCCCCCGAACTTATCAATGTCCACAGGTTTCGGTTTATTTCGAAATAGCAACTTTCGTACAGCTCATGAACGTGTTGTGGATAGTTATATTGGCGCTTTTATGTATATTCATTTGTTGTGCCTCTGCTGAAGGCAGTTTACGGGAATCTAAACCTGGTAATGAGAAACACAAAGCCAGGTGAGCGGTAGTTTTCGCGTGACAAAACATCACCTTGGAAACCGTCCGGCATTCACGCGCTAAAAGAAAATCGCTTACTATTTATTCGGATCCAGGAGGCACTTTCGAGAAAATTAAACAACCTAAAACCCTTATTTAGCGGCAATGAAGAGCTGACTGCATTTCAAAAGAGGTCAAAGGAAATCCTCTTGCATCAAAGGGCAAATCATGCCGACCAGAAACAACAATAATCGCAAAAAATGCATGTCGTGACCTCTCAGTATGAAATAAGCGGCAAAAATCACATTTGCTTTGAATGATTTTTTCCATTTAGTTTTTAGTCATATATTTATTTGAGAAGTAAAATTTAGCTTTTAATCTGACTTACTGTAATAATAATAAAATCGACACGATGGTCCGATAACTTGAGTCCAAGTCATTCCTATTTTTCTTTCGGGATCATTTGCGGGCGACTTTGGGGATCACTTGCGGTCGAGGATCATTTGCGGTCCATTTTGGGGATCATTTGCGGTCTCGGGATCATTTGCGGTTGGGGATCATTTGCGGTACTGTACAGTACTCGCTGTATAGCAAGCGAAGTTTGGAAGAATTGTTAATTGTCCGTAATGTTTGGAAGTGTTTGTTCCATTGTAGCATATGTACATAATGTTTCCCAACCAATATTTTATTTTTGTACCCAAAGCTTTTTTGTTCATTTTGTGTGTTTGGCACTGTAGATAAAATTCTCATTACACACTTCTGAACAAATGTATTACAAATTGTCCATTAAGTAAAATATTGAATGAAATGTCAGTTACCGAAGTCAAGAGATTTCACTTCCTTTTTTAGTGACATCCGGAAATAAAGATTGTTTCAGTACCATTTTCCAGAGCCATTTACATGGGAAAACTGGTCAGTTCACAGTTTGGGCAAATGGTAAGCAAAATTCAAGACCAGTAAATTTTATTCCTGGATCGCGCTTACCATGTGCACAAACTAGTTCCGTACGTCCGCGAAGGCCTGAAACTGGTATCAAAGATAGGTTAAGAAATAGAACATGAATTTGCGTTTCGACCAGGCACCCGGCAGGAGCGCTTACCATTTGTAGGGAAATTTCGGTGAAAATTTGCCGGCAAATTATACTGACATTGGCTGTTTACCATTTTTCAAAAAATTTCCGGAAAGTCCCATTGGAAAGTAAATGTAACACTCTTTTTGGAAAATTTCTGGAAGAAACAGGACATCTGAAAAGGTAGTACTGTTTCTCCGTATGGAATGTTCCAAACAGTAAACAACCATTGCTTTTCGCACTGAAAACAGAAATTGGATTGATTTGTATAATTTACAAAATACCGATAATATTTCGCGTTCTCCCAAGAGGCTGCCTGCACTGCAGGTTATCCAAACAAATGGAACAGAAAATTTTGGTCGTTCCAGTGAAAGCGGAAAAAAAGATAATGGGCGCTTTCCATTCAACCCTGACTTCCAGTCTGAATTTTTGGCAAAAATGAATGGAACAGTGTTTTCAAAGATTTCGTAAACAGAGGACAACCTCGCGAGGTATACCCAAATTTTCGAAAATTTTTTTTCCCGGAAGGTTCCTTTCCATTCACTTTGCTCTCGGAATTTCTAGAATTTTCGGTTGAATGGTTCGCATTCAATTTCCGGAATTTCTGGAAACTTTTCCCGGCAATTCCTGTACCATTTACCCCAGTTTTCAAGTTTTTGAAAGTTTTGGTTGAATGGAAAGCGCCCAATAGCTCGAAGGTATTACCTTTTGTCGGAAAAACGGAAAACATTATACCGGGATGAACCGTTCCATTTGCTTCACTCCCCGAATCACCGGTAGCCTTCGAATTCAGCCGTTTCTTCTTGCTCCTTGGCGCTAAGGACGTTTCGCCAGGAGGAACGTCTGCGACTCAGCGAAAGGAATTCCATACTGATGACGTAAAATCTGTCCGGAATCTGGTCAGAAGCTCTGATTGGTCGACGTAGTAGTTATATTTTTTTTACCTACTGTTTGCGAATGACAGAGAAAAGGCCAAAAAGGTCAAATGTAAACGTGATGAATCTGTTACAAAACAGTCAATATTCCTAGAATATATTCTTCTTTAGAAAAAGCATCTGAGTTTTGCTGGAGCTCGCTCGCAAAAGATCACAAAACTTTACCATAATCGACCAGGAGAAACATTAAATCAAACAAATTTACATTTGGAACCACATGACTAACGGACATTAATTTATTTCATCAGTATAGAATTTCTGTCGCTGAGTCCCTGGCGGCGAGGTGCAAGGAGAAACTGATGTATTTATGTTCTGTAGGGGTGTATTATGGTGCTTATCACATGCGGGGCAAAAATTACTTAACGCTGATTGGCTGAGACGGAGGGCATTTTTTCTTAATCACGCGGCACGTAGGCCATGATTACTTGATGCTGATTGGTTATAAAATGCTTGGTAACGAAGCGTTATTGCCAATGAAATTTTTTTTGCAACATGGCTTCCCGTTTCGTTGAAGCCGACGAAGACTTTAAAACTACAGCACTCTAGCGAGAACAAAAACACTAAACGAAGTAAGCTCTATTGGATCTGCGTGTTCACACAATGGGCTGTAACAAGGGAAAAAATGAGACAATTGACAGCTACGAAGTGTCACAGCTGAACGAAGCGATCGCCCAATTTTTCGCAGAGCTGAGGAAGGAAATCGGCAAAGCATCTTTAGATCGCTTAATAAGAAGCAAAAATTATCCAAAATCTATGGTAAGAGATGCAGAGTTCCTGTCGTCAAGTAAAGTCCTAGAAGGAAAGGCAAGAAAGCATCGCGAGCTCTCTGTAAAATAAAATCGAGTAATATTAAAGACGAGATGAAGACAACGAGAACGGTAAAAAAACAACAACAATACATCTAATTAGCAAAAAATTTTGCAAGTGCAGCATACTTTTCTCTAATTAGCAAAAAAAAAACAACTTTGCTCGTGAAAATTTCACGCGTATTTTCAAAGTTTTCCCAAAATTGCCCTAGTCCCGAGGGCACTTGCAGTTACTTAGAGGATGTTACACGGGACGATTTGCAACAACGATTTTCAACGCAACACACCATTTCAACATTATTGCGACATTGTTTCGAATGCTTGCAACATTGTTCCAACGTTGCTACTCTGTGTTGCGCAAAAAAATCATCGTTGCGAATCGTTCAGTGTAACATCACCTTAAAGGGTAGAAGTTGCGTTTGTTTTGACATTTGTGGAGGCATTGAAAGGACATCGTGCGGGAATGCAATTCCCTCAAAAATTTTGCCCTTTATGTGATGAAAAAGTAATCTCAAGTACCCGCGGGCAAATAGGGATTAATTTTACTTGTATTTTCAAATTTTTCCCAAAAATGCCCTCGTCGCGGGAAAACTTTGAAAATAAAAGTGAAATTTATTCTTAATTGCCCTCGGGCCCATGCGATTACATATACAAACCATTTCTTACCATCGCTCCCTCGCGTCTTTAGTTAACATATTATTTCGTTTTCCTTTCCGTTGAAGACTTTCTAGTTACTTCCCGTGCGTAAATAGTTTACCATACAATTGGCGGTCCCCTTTTAAGTGCAAGTTAGCAACGAAGGATCCAAAGCAAAAATGGCCGAACGAAAAAGCGCTTATGTTCCTAAGTCACCGAGTTTCGATTCTTCAAATTCAACGGGATGGGATCCTGAACAGGCGAGAAAGCTAATTCAAGAATCAGCTCGTTTACATCCACCCCCAGTGGTGATATTTGTCCGCCCTGCACCGAAATTCACGCCGAAATTTGACGTCAGGAGAAGAGACAACAAGCCCAGTCCACAGTCCAGGGTGATGGTGGATAGCTTTGCGAACAGTGTACTCGTCGCTAAAACGCAACGAAGAATGGGACGCATTAAGATGACAGAGGAGGATTACAAGCAGTTTGTTGGCAAGGAATTGAGTCGAAAACGAAGGAAATAAATTTAGAGACCTCAGGAAGTTTCCTTGGTAGTACTATTATATATACTCCAATCATACCATTTAGCAATTTTGATTAGTTAATTATTTCGATCTTAAATTATCTCGCCTCAGTATATATCACTGGACGACAGTTGAATGAACAGTTCTTTTAACGATATACCAGTTAGAAACAGGATTGACTTGAAACTTAGCACTTCGTGTTATTCAAAATTTGAAATAA